TGCGGTATTAGATACGTATGATGCACGATCTTCGCAGTAGATAGCGCTATTTATGCAATAGCGAAAATCAGACCTGAAAAAAATGAGGCCTGTACGGGACTCGAACTACTGATTTTCGCTGTTGCATAAATAGCGCTATCTACTGCGAAGATCGTGCATCATACGTATCTAATACCGCAGTTCAAAATATATGAACTTCATATATTCATTGTATCTGTGTTAAAGGTGTTGAACATCTAAACAACACAGATTTTTAGATTTACGGCATACCGTTCTTGTATTTTCTCCGGAGATCTAACTATTGCTGTGACGTTATGGCCACGATCTAGTGCCTGTGTCACCACTTCCCTGCCTGTTAACCCAGATCCGCCAAAAACAACAAGTTTTAATGTCCTCCGAAATTTAATTTCGTCCACCATATTGAATTCTTCGACACGCAAAGGATCTTGGAAAGTGATTTGCACCCAGGCCTACTAATAAGTTCGTATCCTCACCGAGGGTGACCGAGGGTTGAATGGAAAGATGGCAGAGTGTGTGGGCGGGGGATGGAAGGGGAATGTAATTTGTCTATTACTTGTTTGCTGACTTCTTATCTAGCCATTTTGGCATACTTTTGATCAGTCATTAGAGCTGAACACATGAAATACTAGGAGACACATGGAAAGTGAACAAACACACAGGTATGATAACCAGAGAACACCTTAATAATTCTCATTAAAAATTTTATCAACATGTATTATGTTGTACTAGGAAACCATAAAAAGGATTTACATTACCTGTTTACATACTTATTTAATAAATGTAACCTTTGATCAAGCATTCACTTAAATCAGTTTCTTAGTGTCAATCAAGAAACCACTCTTATTAACTTCTGTTGCTTCAACACACCACTGTGTAGGATATGTTACTTAATATTCAATCTTAGTGTGTCTGTCAGTTAACATCAATTTTTTTCTTTTCCTGCTCATTGCATCATCGCAACAAATTTCTTAAGCTACATTGCAGAAACTTCAGATCAATAATGTAAAAGCAAATTTCCATCCATACAATTAATGAAATCTTTCATTCCCAAGATCTCACTATTAACTGTTTGCACTGTCTCCCATCGATTTGATATGATTTTAACTCTAATAATTTGGTGTCAAAACAAACAATATGACTTAGCTAAGGCATTTTTTCCTTTCTCCCTAAAACATCTCTGCCCTAAAATGTATTTATATTGTAAGGAGTAATTTCTCTGTGCTCACTCCTGCCATCTAAGACATTCAGGAAATTAAAATTATAATTCAGAGTCCAGCAATTGCAAATCCCTTCCGATCATACTCATTACTTTCTAAAGTTTTTAGCATAAAATCAGCAACATCTGCACAAGTGATCCTGCTCGTTGTTCCAGTGTTACACTGCCCTTCTTCAACCTTGTAATTTCCAGTCTTTTCACCTGAAAAAGTTAAAGTCCCATTAAAATCTGCATGTTGAGCAAGTTGCATTAGCTTCCTCTCTCAATGTTAAAGCTTTTTTTGTATGGAAAGGAAATTCCAAAAAGACTAGGTTTTACTGATTTCATGCTGTTCAAGATGTAACCCACATACTGGGAAATAAGGTTTCTATCCAAGATTTTCCTGATACTGACTTGGTGATCAGGGATTAATATTGCTCATGATTTCAAACTATGGATCACTGGATTCTCTCAAAGGAAAATGGATCAACTTTCTTATCTTGAATTCTAACTGATTATAGAAAAACTCCAGGACATGCAATCATTAAAATAAAAATGCAATGTATTTTTTTCAGATTGTCTCCAACTATTCTAGCCAATCAGCTAAGGCCCTGTTTACAAGCAAGGAGGGTAACCCTTGTGCTAGGGTTACCCTAGCAGGCAGGTCAAAGATAGCCCAAGTTTACGAGCAAAATTTCACAGGTAGGGTTACCCTACCACCC